ATCAAAAGAGGCCAAAAACCAATACCAGCAACAAAGAAATAGCTGTGAAGAAGCCAGCTGGTGTGGGCAGGGCAAATCCGAATGGCACAGAACCAGTGCCTCTTGTGCTGTGGTCACAGCCCTCTGGGAAGCGGTGGATCAGCCCTCTGGGAAGCCAGGAATCAGCTCACCAGGAAGCAGTGAAGGTCGAGCAGGGGGAGGAAGGGTGTGGAGTGGGAAAGCATGTATTGCTTATTACCGGGTGCTCTGTCTTCTGCTGGGAACTCCATGAATCTGCCTTCTCATATTCTCTGTCTGCCGATCTCCAACAGGAATCCAGGATGATGGATCCATGCTGCGTTAGCTGATGGGGGACCTCCACTCGTAACTTTCCTCACTCTATTCTCTGTCAGTTTCTTATTCCATTCAGTGCTTGGCTGAGTTCTTTATGTCTTCATTTGATGCTTAAGGTTCCAGGATTGACATTTGTCTCTGTTTTTCTTAGTTTTTCAGGTCTTTGCTGTGGAGGGACAGCGTGGTGCTTCTGTCTATAGTGCCATGTTGACTCCACCTCCTCCCCTAACTTTTCTATCTCCTTCATTGGTGACTTTTTGAGAGCAAAGAGAGGGAGCAGCTCACCAGACCTGGAGCAGCAGTGTGGTCAGGGAAGTTTTTTATAGAAGATATGCCAACAGAGGGTTTAAAACATGCTAAATGACTAAAAGTAATATGGGAATATGAATAGAATCCTGGAATAAAAAAGAAACATGAGGCAAAAACTAAAGAAATATGAATAAAGTATGGATTTTAGTTAATAATAATGTATCAATATTGACTCATTAATTATGACAAAAATATCATAGTAATGCATCATCTTCTACAAACCATCTGTCAGTTTGTTGTTCCATGGTGGCTTGCATGTTGCTACAATACTGTGTATTCAAATACAAATACAATATTTCAAATACCATCAAGATCACCCGTGGTGGACAGGTTTCAGCAGAGCTTCCAGACTAAGAAAAAATAGGAAGAAAGGCCTGGTTATTTATTTCCAAAAATTAGCTGATGAAAATACTATGGCTCACACAGAATTTTGTCCAATATAGTGCTGGAAGATGAGCCCCCTAGGTTGGGAGACATTCAAAATGCACAATAGGTGCAACCATAGACTCAAGCATACCAACAATATTGAAGATGGTACAGTGCTGGGCAGAGTTTTGTTCTGTTGTACATAGGTCACAATAAGTTGTAGCTGACTGCGTGGCAACTAACAACAACAATGCAGCATCTTAACAGTGGGAAACTGGGTGTAGGGTATATCAGAATTCTCTGTACTGCCTTTGTACCTTTTTTTGTAAATCTAAAGCTAATCTAAAATTTAAAACTTATTTTAAAAAATGAGTAAGAGTTTAATGGACCCAGCATAAGAGAAATTGCATTCTAGGCAGAAGAATATGGATGAAAAGAGTCAAGGAGGAACATGATGTGCATGAGAAAAGTGTGTGTATGTGGCGGGGGGCAGGGGGGTTGTAGTGTACTGTGGATACATAATATGAAGTGAGACTCAGAGCGGGGTCTTGATTAGTAAGGCCGTTCTTGGAGACCAGGCTTAAAAGCATTAGGATTTATTCTTTATAGAATTAGAAATCATTAGAAAATTTTTATTAATGCAAGTTCGTGTTTGAGTTTATTTATTATAAATGTTGTGTGTCAGCACGTTGCTGGAGGATGGACCAGAAGAGAGAGAGGTAACAAGACCAGTGAGGAGGCTCTAACAATAGTCTGGGGCAGAGTTGCTGCTGCCTGGAGCGGACTAGAGCAGAGGATGGCATGGAGAGGCATTGAGGGGCAGAGCCCATCCTGGAGCCGAGCTGACACCCATGTCACATTTCTGTTAGGACAAGGCTTCCTCCCATCTGCTTCTTCTACCTCAATTCCCCATCCTCACGATTGATTACAATCTCAACAGAAAGACAGGTAAAGGTGGTTGATCAAGGTCCAGCATCCAAACCAGGGCAACAAAGATTCAAGACACCTCTTTATCATTGTCAGTGAGGTTTGGCAGCAGGTGTTAGGAATTCAGTTCTGGTGCAGGGGCAGAAAATCCAGTCCTTGTAACTGATACATCATAATCAGGGCATTATTACCCCAACTATGACTCTGTGAGTCATCAGAATGGTGCAGGAGATCTTAGTAACTCTACCCGCATCCAGGATGAGTACTAACCCCAGTACCAGGGTTAAACAATTCTGGGGATGCAGGGGCAGGCAGTCCAAATACATACCATCTTCCCATTCCTGCCTCCTGAGTTCATGTCAATGAGGCCAAAGAATCCAGGAATTCAACACTTTGATTCCTTTTGTCTGAGTTGATTCTCTTCCCTTTGAAAAGCGTTTTAATCCAGCTTCAGGAATTTCTGAGTTTGAGACCCAGTGGAGAAATAGCCATGATGCTTCCTTCTCAGGCTATACCTGTTCTCAGAGTGTGATATCTTAGATGTCCTTGAACAGGATTTTTGGTAGACCTTAACTTTCTCTTCACTGCAGTGTCCTCCAAATTAATTAGTGGTTGGGGGGCTCCTCAGAGTACATGGCCATGTTCTTAACTAAATTATTATTCATCCCTGCCAAGCATCCTATTATTTAGGATGGAATGGGTCTTAGTATGTGTCTTAGGCTGAGTTCTCTAGAGAACCAAAACCAGTAAAGTGTATAAATATATACATAGGGAGCGATTATGTCAAGGAAACAGCTCTTGTGATTGTAGAGCTAGAATGTCCCAAGTCCGTGGATCAGGGTAGAGGCCTCTCCCAAGTCACGCAGCTGCAGAAACTGGCAAGCCCAATATCGGCAGGTCGGAGAGCAGGGCTCCCGCTCACAGGCTGTGCAGATCGACGAATCCCAGGTTTGGCAGATAAGCTGACAGCTCAAGTCCCAAGAATGGGAGATGAGACGACAGGAAGCAGCCGCAGGACCCAGAGAGAGCAAAAAGCCAGAACGTCTGCTTATATACAGATGTGGGCCGCACTCTCAAGGAGACTCCCTTTCATCTGGTTGGCTACTCACAGTATATTCAAATCACGGGAGTGATTACATTAAAACATGGAGAATCATGGCCCAGCCAAGTTGACACACAATCTTAACCATCACAGTGTGCATCATATCCAAAGTCACAACTTGAACATATGCAGGAGAGGCTGTATTCTGGCTTCCAGTCCCTGTAAGAGGTTCCAGGTTCCTTTGAAGCTGACTCTAGAACCACATATCTCATTCTGATGTTCCTAATTTAGGCCTAGAATTGTAGTATTTTCTATGTGGAATAGTCCCACAAACTTTGGAACTGGTCTTCTAGGTAGTGTGGAGACCCTGAGAAAGATGTCTGTACCGTTGGAGATGCTGGGAGAGCAGAAGAGTCATAAACAGGCTATTTTAGGGACGCTGGGGCCCTCAGAGAATGCTCGTCCACAAAAGGGTACTTCTTTATCTCTATTTAATTATGAGTCTTGTGAGATTTTCTGATGAAGAAAAGATGCTGCCTGAAGCAATCTGATTCTTTAACTCCATTCTACTCAGACAGTGGAGTCCCTGGATAGTGCAAATGTTTAATGCACTTGGCTGCAGACTGAAAGGTTGAAGGTTCTAGTCCACCCCAAGATGCGTCAGAAGAAAGGCCTGATGATCTACTTCTGAAAAAATCAGTCATTGAAAATCCTATGGGGCACAATTCTACTGTGACACACATGGGGTTGCCGTGAGTCAGTCAATTCAATAGCAACTGGCTCCTTCGACTGTGGCCTATGGATGGGCAGCAAAAGCATCACCGGGCAGTTTGTTAGACACAGACAATCTCAGGATGAAGAGTCAGAGAGTGCATACAGAATCTCTGGGTGATTTTAGCACACACCAATGTTTTAGGATTATTGCTTTAATCAGCAGTGGCGGTCCACCATCCTGGCTGCATATTAGAATCACCTAGAATGCTCACATTTCCATATCCAGCCCTCCACAGACCAATGGAATCAGAATCTCTGGGGCTGGGGCACGACTGTCAGTATGTTTTACAAGCCCTTTAGGAGATTCTAATATGTAGCCAAGCTGAGGCCCCATGACCTAGAAGAGCAGGAGTTCCCAGCCTGGCTGCACACCAGAGTCACCTGGAAAGCATCAAAACTGCCCAGGCCTCACCCTTCTTCCAGAGATCATGATTAAATTGGTTTGAGATGGGGCTAGATGTCTATACCTTTTAAATATTCCCGATGAATGGTTGGGACTCACCCAGCAGAGGAAGGACTCCTCACTGTTGCCCAGTCCCTGCAGGGACACAGGGAGGGGAGCAGTCCAAGAACACCTGGTTTTCTCTGATGTTTTTGAGCCAGTTGGGGTCTCCTCTACCACCGCAGGGTGCCTGTTGGCGATGCATCTGTTCCTGGAGGGGTCCTATATGCTCAGGAAGGAATCACACATTTATTCTGCCATTGGCTTCTGCCGGCATACCATGGGATTTACATTCCAGTGAGGACCAGCAAGAGGTCTTCACCCTGCTTTCAGCGGGCACCAGGATGCCGGGCAAAGCTGTGCACTTGGGTTTTATTACTTCCCTCAGTGCTGGGCCTCTTCCTGCCCCTAGTGGAGGAGGTGGTTGAACACAAAGGCCTCTGGCCTGGTCAAGTTAAAAGAGTAATTAAAGAAAAAGGATGTTTTGTGGGAGACACAGTGACTTGGCCTCAGTGGATGAACAGAATAAAATGGGACATAAACACTTGTTCTAGAGACAAGTTGCTACAATGGTTTCATTTTAGGGTCTGGCATGTCCTGGAGATCCAGATGAGCTGATGTAGGAAGTGAAGCACTCCATCATGCCTCTATTCTCATTAAGGTTTTACTGTGGCTCTGGGTCTCTGGGAAGCTCAGAGGCCTGCTGCCCACCTACCTGCCTGACCCAGAGACCCAGCTTGGAAGGCGATTTCCTATAGTGAGCACGGGTGCCTTCTCTGTCCTTTACACTCCCTTTTTCTTTCACAGCTGGCAACGTGGGATTCGGAGAAGGGCCTGAACGGCAGCTTGCAAGAGAGGCCGATGGGCAGCCGCCTGCAAGGACTGACTCTCAAAGTGGTGACTGTCTTGGTAGGATCATGTGGCTATTCAGGAGCTTCACCTTTCAGGCTTTTAGTCTGAGGCCTCTCTCTGCTTTATTGCTGGTTTTGGAGAGAAGACAATGTTGAGTTTTGAGCTTTCATAAAGGCTTTCTGTTCAAATAACCATGTGTATAATGATGGGGAGATGTTGGAGGTTCTGCCCAGTGTCCCCAAGACCCCTCGCCTAAAGTCACTGCACTGCTCTGATCACGAAGCTACAGAGAGAGCCCAGCTACACCACTTGTCCTTGAATGCCAGCTGGAACTGGACCTACTGCTGGTCCTTAGGAAAGCTATGCTGCTAGCCAGGATACTCCAGGCAGATGCTGGGAGGACATTTTTTAGCACCACAGCGCCACTTATGGGCCCAGATGACATAAAGTTCATAATGGAGATGTTTTGTTAGTTGCAATTTTTCTGCATGGTTGATCTGGAATGGTAGACCTTTATATTTGAAGAGAACTTAGAAGCATTAGTATTCGTTTCAGTTGCCTTAGAAGCATTGATATTCCTTTGAATTGCCTTCTGTAACTTTTTGGAAGGACTATGGGGGAGATATTCAATTTACCTTTTATTAGCTAGGTCAAACGTGATGCAAATATCTGCCTCCACCCAGGAGATGCACTAGGGTCTCCTTAACTCTAGAAGCCATTGACAACAGTTTTTCTGCAATCCCCAGATGCACATCACAAAAAAGATGTATACCCTATTTTCCCAACAAAATTAAATTAGTGAGATATAGTCTCTGGGGCTGTTTGCTAAAAGGCCCCTTTTTGTTCAGTTTTACACAAGTAGGAAAGCCAGTAGTGGGAAAGGCCAAGGTGTTTTCCAGATGTCCACGTGCTCCTTAGGAGCTCATGGTGACATAGCATAAAATTTGTAAACGTGAGCATGGCATGGCTTTGGACGTAGAGAGTGTGGGTGTCATTCCTCTCCTATTCTTTGACTTACGGCATGACCTTGCCAGTTAATCAGCATATATTTTGTAGTACAACCCACTAGATGTAATACTGTCTTCTCTCTGCCTAATATCACAGAGATTCATTGCCATTTATTATTCTAGATGAAAAATATCCATGTTTCTTATGAGGGTCCCTCCAAATTATGGCATTTCCTAAGGCCAGAGTCCTCGTTCAGCATGAATGTGACAAGCATGGAAGCCATATTATTCTGAGAGTTGAGATTTTGGGGGGAGCCCAGGATAGTAAAACACATGACAAGTAAACCTCCATTCCTCCATACTGACCCACTAATTGGGGCGATCTTCCCATGCATTATATTCTGAACGTCCATAAACTACTTGTAGAAAAGAGAGAGAAGTTCAGACCCCAGGCTTAAATAAGGTGCACACAATAACACTTCCCTAAAACTTCTAAGGAGCCCCAGTTGCTCAGTGGTTAAGAGCCCAGCTGCTAACCAAAAGGTCGGCAGTTCAAATCCTCCAGCTACTCCTTGGATACACTATGGGGCAGTTCTACTCCATCCTGTAGGGTTTCTATGAGTCGGAATCAACTTGACGGCATCGAGTTTTTTGTTTTTGTAAACCTTCTGAAGTTATGATTGACCAGATATGTCAGTCTAACAATACGCTGGAAATATGTGTTAACAGACCTGCCATTTTATTGAAGAACTGAAGAACGAGTCTTAATATCACCTTAACTGTGCATTCTGTTGTCCCCAGGAAGAGCCTTTCGTGATGGTGGCAGAGAACATCCTTGGGCAGCCCAAACGCTACAAAGGGTTCTCCATAGATGTCCTGGATGCACTAGCCAAGGCCCTGGGCTTCAAATATGACATTTACCAGGTCCCAGACGGCAGGTACGGTCACCAACTCCACAACACCTCCTGGAATGGGATGATCGGAGAGCTCATCAGCAAGGTAGGTCCCTGCAGCAGATCCATATGGGTGGGGAGCATCCTAGTCTGTCTCTGGGGTGATAGCTAAGCTTGGCCCCATTATGCAATTGGAACCATGGGACCAGCTAACAAGACCACAGTTACCATTCTTCACACACTAAGGCTCAGTGCAGCCTCTTTTCCTCAGCCTCCACGATGCCTTCTTCTGTTCTTCCATCCTCTCATCCCCTGGCACTCAAGGTTTTTTCTTCCTGTCCACTGCTTTCATTCCTCTGAAGCCTATATACTGTGCCTATTCTGTAGTACACCCTACTGAAAATCCACTCCCACCTTCAAGCTGAAACATGAGCCCAGTTCTCATGGGGAGGTGGGGGTACTGGCAAGTGGTCATTTTCCTATAACTCATCGACTGGACCTCAAGTGGAATGTATATGTGTATGTGTGTGAGTAAGTATGTGTGTGTGTGTATGTGTGTGTTTGTGTGAGGGTGTGCAGGTGTTTGCATTGTTGTGTTTAAGTGGTGTCAACTTCTCCCAGCTCCCCATACTACTTTCAAATCATCACTTTTCCTCCCTCCTGTACAATCTGCATCCTCATGGAGAAGCATGGCATGGGGTTAATTCACCATGCTCCCATCCCTGCCCCTGTCATCCCACTTCCTCACAATAATTTATGATAGCAGCATATGACTCAGGTCCTCCCTCTCCAGTCCAAATGCTGCATTTCTTGACAATTTCTGACATCTCTACGGACAACCCTAGACCCCCAGCGCTTTGACCTCCTCACCTCCAGTGAACATTGCTGGTGCTCTACTCTAGCTCCTTGGTCCCATGCATCTTGTTGGTATCCTGAAATTTCCAGTCTTAAGCATCCCTATCCCACTCCATGAATTCAATCTGTTGTCCTGGCTCTCCTGGATCTTCAGTTCTAAAACACAGGACCTCTGCCTTTTAACACATAGAGGCAGACACTAGGCTCATAATCTCTCAGGTTTCTCTTAAGCTTTTTAAATAAACAACTTAATGAGGTATAATTTTCATAGTATAACATTCATCCATTTTAGGTGTATAATTTAAAGATTTTTAGTAAATTTACTAAGTTGTGCAGCCAGCACTATAATATAGTTTTAAAATATTTCTATCACCCCAATACAATCCCACCCCAGTCGTAGCCAACCCTTACCTACTTTCTATAGATTTGCCTTTCTGAGCATTTCATATCAGTGGCGTAATACAGTATGTGATCTTTTGCTTCTGGCTTCTTCCTCTTAGCATAATGTGTTTGAGATTCATCTTCTTATCTTTTTAATGCCTTTCTGATACTCTATTCTTCTCTGCCTGGTGTACCCTTCATGGCTGATAAGCAAACCAGTCTGTCCTTTATTCCTTGTGATCTCCTTGTATTCTGGATTTCCTGCTGCACCCCAACCATGAATTGATCCTGTTGTTGAGTCTCTTGGCTCTGACATCAGGAGCCATAAGAGGAGAAAATCACAAATCTGTCCAAATGGAGGTATGAACAATGGACGGTCTCCCACCTCAGCTGGACACAAGTTGTTTATCCTTTGTTAGCCCCCTCAGCTACATCACTCATAGACTCTTTTAAAAGTTTGCCTTTCTCCAGCCACCTAATGATCTTCTATCCTTCTCAGTCTAATAAAAAGAAATTCCACTCCTATACTGAGGAAAAAATTGAGACTTCTGGACATGAAATTCTACTCCAACTTCTCATGAAATTCGTATGTGTAGGCACCTACTCTCCCTTTCACTTTCACAGCGGGAAGTGTTTCTCCTCCTGTAAAAGGTTAGCCCCTTTACCTGTGCTCGTGAGTCCATTCCCTTGTGCCTTCTCCAGACCCTCCTTCATACATTAGCTTCCCTCCACCCTATATTTTAAACAATCCTGCTGCTCCACTGACTCTCTTCCTCAGCCCTTAAATATATTCTACACTCTCCTATCCTAAAGAAAAAAAAAAAATCCCTGGATCTTGTGTTATTGAGAAAAGAAGAGTCGGAGATGTAAATGTCATAGAGTAAGAGAGTTCTGGCATTGTCACCTCCAACATTTTTTCTCTTTACTCTGGATATGTTGCTGGATTTCACAACTTTGAACATCAGCATATCTTCTCCTCTATCCCACATATTGTTGTTAACTGCTGTGCAATTGGCCCAACTCAAGGAAACCCCACATACAATGGAATAAAACACTTCCCAGTCTCGTGCCATCCCTGTGATTGGTTGGGGATCGGACTGTTGTGATCTGTAGAGTTTTCACTGGCTGATTTTTGGAAGTAGATCACCAGGCCTTTCTTCCTAGTCTGTTTTAGTCTAGAAGCTCCGCTGAAACCTGTCAACTTCACAACAACACACAAGTCTCTACTGATAGACGGGTGGTGGCTGTGGTATTAAACCCAATAAAACCCATATATGTGTTTCTCCAATTTTAATATTTAGGCTGGATTGGTTGTCATGATTAGTCACTCTAAAACAAACCTGGTGCTGATGATGCCTCCCACTTGAAGGAAGGCCTAAGAGCCACGATCAAGATGGTCACTATACATTTGAGTGAGCTGGTGGATAAACTAGGATTCTAGGTCCCCTTATTGCCTGTCATCCACCCAGCTCCACTTGAGGACCCTAACCTCCACTAGTATTGGCAGCTTTATCCCCATCCTCTGATCTAGATCCATCTTAACTGAGTCTTTGTCTATTTTTAAAATGAAGCCCATCATGGAAAGCAAAATTTTGGAAGATAATTTTGAGTTCACAGCCCAGCATACCAGAGAGTTCCATCATAACATGGATTTTCTGTAGGAAAAATCGACCCATGCGTCTGCAGGTCATGAATTAAGGGCAGTGGGAGGTCAAAAGAAGTAATAATCCCTTCATTACTTGCAGTCTTTTACTCTATGGCATGGGGTATGCATATCATGCAGTCAGAGACCAATGCATTAATGTGATTCAAGACAGTTGTACAACTCATCATATCACTTTCAATGTATTTTAGATAACAGAGAGCGGGTAATGAAATTTGGAGAGACTTACTGGAAAAATGGAATGTCTTTGTTGAGGTAAACAGAGGATGCAAATAAGTCTAGAACAAGATAGAAGGGCCTTCCTGCTGGGGATGGATTGAAACATGGACAAAAGAAAGGAGAAAGAGAGAGCTAAGATTTGCTAGGTGAAACAACAACAATAATAAGAACAACAACAACAACAAAAAAAGTGAGGAAAAGCTGTAATTCACACAAGAATGAAGAAGATGTTTTAGACTCTTTTCTTCAGAAGAGGTTTCCAGGAGTATTTAGGACTGGAAGGAGAAATTTATAAGGTGTAGGAGATAGTATAGACAACTTAGTGTTGGGTTTTTTCCTTACATGATTCAAGGTCACAGGGTATCCACTCTCAAACGCATTTCCTCAAAGGGCAAAGGAGGCACCTTCACCCAGGGCAGAACCCAGCAATTCAGGAGAGCTGAGGGCTGATTCTGATGAGATTATTTTGCCTTTCAGAGAGCAGACTTGGCAATCTCGGCCATCACCATCACCCCAGAGAGGGAGAGTGTTGTGGACTTCAGCAAGCGGTACATGGACTACTCGGTGGGGATGCTAATCAAGAAGCCTGAGGAGAGAATCAGCATCTTCTCTCTGTTTGCTCCATTTGATTTCGCTGTGTGGGCCTGCATTGCGGCAGCCATCCCTGTGGTTGGGGTGTTGATATTTGTGTTGAACCGGATCCAGGCTGTGAGAGCTCAGAGTGCCAGTCAGCCCCGGCCATCCACTGCTGCCACCCTGCACAGCGCTATCTGGATTGTGTATGGAACCTTCGTACAGCAAGGTACCTTCCTGGTTTTCTGTATTTGAATAGCTCTAGGACCCTGGAATGGGAGCCATTGTGGTTCAGTGGTAGAAATCTCACCTACCATGTGGGAGACCTGGGTTCAATTTCCTGCCAGTGCACCTCATGCACAGCCACCAGCCATCTGTCAGTGGAAGCTTGCATTTTGCTATGATGCTGAACAGATTTCAGTGGAGCTTCCAGACTGAGATGGTCTAGAAAGAAAAGTCTGGTGATCTACTTCTGAAAATCAGCCAATGACAACCCTTACGAATCACCACAGTCTGATCCACAATTGATCATGGGAGTGGCACAGGACCAGGCAACCATTCATTCTGTTGTGCATGGGTTCGCCAGGAGTTGGGGCCAACTCAGCAGAGCTGAGAACAGCAATAACAGGGCCATTGAAGAGCTTACCCATTAGCAAAACTTTTAGAGACATTTTACAAAAGTAATTTTAAATGCAATTTTATTTAATCTCTAGGACAGTACAGTATCATGCTGCACCCTATTTCTCTGAGGAATATCAGATAGAAATTAAATGACATGACAACAAGGATCTCGACTTCAAATCCTAACTCTCCACTCTAGATTAAATTAACTTTGGAGTTCCGCTTTGCACTGTCTCCCCTTCCACATCAGACTGCTTGTTATGCACATGAGGTTGTCAAATGAAACCCCAAGTCTTGTTTAAATCTGAAGTCTTAATGGAAAAAAAATCACAATTGTGTTGCAATCATCTAAGCAGCAGTCCATTCATTCTTGAGATACCAAGTGCTCATATCTCTGAGAGGTTTGGATAGCACTTGGTGAGTTACAAGGTTGTGCCATTTTGACTGAAAACTATAAATTGCAAACTTCCTAATGTGAGTCTTGGCCCCATTTGCAGCAAAGGCTATGTGAGGTTATATAAGGAGAATAGGCAGTGGGAAGCTTTCTTTTGCTACCACCTAAGGGACCAAGGAAAGATAATCGGCCTCAAAGAGGCAGCCTTTAAGTGAAAGTCAGATGCAATGATTTCTGAAAATCCTGGCATGGAGGGTGGAAGTCATCTAATGAGAGCTGAATGTTAACAAAAGTGATGTGGTACATCTCATTTCTGAGTTTAAGAGAAAGCTATGGAGTCCTCCGGATAGGTGGTAATTCTGTATTTACAGAATTCCTGAGACTACTATATGTGAATTTGAAATTGGAAAGGAATCTCATATCAGGTTACAATACTGTAAGTTCTTATCACTGTGATTTGGAATTTTCTAGCTGGAAGATTTTGGTATTCAGAACTCTATCCTTGGAGTTTTGACAAATTTCACATTACTAAGAGGCCAGTCAGTCGTTCATACAGAACAAGGGAATACTGCGTGGTTTAAAGTCAAGAAAAGTGGGTGTCAGGTTTGTATCCTTTCACCATACTTATTCAGTCTGTATGCTGAGCAAATAATCTGAGAAGCTGAACTATATGAAGAAGTGGGCATCAGGATTGGAGGAAGACTCATTAACCACCTGCATTGCGCAGATTGTACAACCTTGCCTACCTGAAAGTGAAGAGGACTTGAAGCACTTATTGATGAAGATCAAAGACCATAGCCTTCAGTATAGATTACACCTCAACATAAAGAAAAACAAAAATCCTCACAACTGGACCACTAAGCAACATCGTGGTAAACGGAGAAAAGATTGAAGTTGTCAAGGATTTCATTTTACCTTGATCCACAATCAACACCAATGGAAGCAGCAATCAAGAAATCAAACAATGTGGTGCATTGGGCGAATCTGCTGCAAAAGACCTGTTTAAAGTATTAAAAAGCAAAGATGTCTCTTTGAGGACTAAGGTGTACCTGACCCAAGTCATGATATTTTCAGTTGCCTCATATGCATGCAAAAGCTGGATGATGAGTAAGGACGACCGAAGAAGAATTGATGCCTTTGAATTGTGGTGTTGGTGAAGAATAGTGAATATACCATGGACTGCCAAAAGAATGAACAAATCTGTCTTGGAACAAGTACAACCAGAATGCTCCTTAGAAGCAAGGATGGCAAGATTATGTCTCACATACTTTGGACATGTTATCAGGAGGGATCAGTCCCTGGAGAAGGGCATCATGCTTGGTAAAGTAGAGGGTCAGCAAAAAAGAGGAAAACGCTCAAGGAGATGAACTGATGCAGTGGCTGAAACAATGAGCTCAAGCATAACAATGATTGTGAGGATGTCACAGGACCAGGCAGTGTTTTGTTCTGTTGTACGTAGGGCTGCTATGAGTCAGAACCGACTTGACGGCACCTGACAACAACAAGAGGCCAGTCCTGGCTTTTCCATATTTGGTCACTTTCTAAGATTGGTGGTGGTCTTAGGATCCTTTCCCAGAATTATAACTGTCCTCACACCCAGCTGATTGCCATTCCCCTGCTCATGAGCCCTCAATCGGGGCCAGAGAGCACCAGCATCAGTTGAGGCCCAGTGGAGGGCAGAGCTTCTCGGTGGGGTGGAGATTAGAGTACAAGCTTCAGACCAACCCCCTTTGCCTGCCCTCTACAGGTGGTGAGTCCTCAGTGAACTCCATGGCCATGCGCATTGTGATGGGCAGCTGGTGGCTCTTCACCCTCATCGTGTGCTCCTCCTACACAGCCAATCTTGCTGCTTTCCTCACAGTGTCCAGGATGGACAATCCCATAAGGTAAGACCCATCCCTGCTTCCAGATCTGGGGCCATTTCACTCCAAGAGGGTGCAAAAGGAGAATGCACATCTGTCAGGAGCAGCCTGGTGTCCCAAAGAGAGCCTGGAGGCAGTCATGGACTCCAATCCTGGATCTGCCATTTGATGATGAGGTCTTTTAGTGCATGGAGGAGAGCTTCTCTCCTGTTCTACTGTATTTCATGCACAATTAAATAAATGTGTAAATTCATTAAATAATATTCTCTGAACATTTAAATGCTGCTAACAAAACTAATAAATCAAAATATTAAAACAACAAATTAAATATCTTCAGACATTTAAACATTGACTACAAATTTATTCAATCAAAATTCTCTAAACATTTAATTAAAATTAATTAAATCCACAAGTCTAATATATTTTTCAAAATTTCAAACACTTTAAAATGATTTTAAAAAGCATGCCAATTATCACAATGATTAGAAAACTAATTTCAATTGTACTTATAAAATCATAAAACTATTAAAACCAAGGGCCAAAATATTTTCTTCACTATTTACATTTTACAAAATTTTAAAAGTATGGCATAAAAGAATGAACTTAAAGTACTGAAATAACTTTTGGAAACAACTTGTTTTGTGATCATATTCCCATGTTGTTGTTGTTAGGTGCCGTTGAGTTGGTTCAGGCTCATAGCGACCCTATGTACAACCGAACAAAACACTGCCTGGTCCTGTGCCATCTTCACAATCATTGTTATGCTTGAGCCCATTGTTTCGGCTGTGTCAATCCATCTCTTTGAGGGTCCCTCCTGATAACATGTCCAAAGTATGTGAGACGAAGTCTTGCCATCCTTGCTTCAGATTCCCATATACAGTGTAAATCACAAAACTTACAAATTCCCATCTACAGCTGAACAAAGTGAAGCTGTGTTGGATATGTGGTTTTCTGTAGTGCGTGTGCCTGTAGGCATGAATCTATTCTGCACTTCATCGGGTGCAATATAGGCTTCAGTGTTTCCTCTCACTTGAGCCCTGACTTACGATTTTGAGTTCCTGCCTTCAGTAACATCTCTAACCCATCGTACTCACTATCATTATGCTGACTCCTTTGGTCCCCAGCTCTAATCAGGTCATCCAGACTCAAGCAGCTTTATGACTCCCAATTGCCTATTTCCAAAAGTTCAAACTCCTTGACTAGGAAGCAAGATTCAGTATGATGTCATCTAGTTTTTTTTATTATTTTTAAACTGAAATTTTAGAGATATAGATTTATATGCAATTATAAGAAATAATGCGGAGAAGTCCCCTTTTACCATTTACCTAGTTTTCCCCAATGGTAATATTTTGCAAAACTATCGTATCCTATCACAACCAGAATATTGACATTGATACAATTGACTCATTGGTGCCATGGTGGCTCAGTGGTTAAGAGCTTGCCTGCTAACCCAAAGGTCAGCAGTTTGAATCTACCAGCCGCTCCTTGGAAACCCTATGGGGCGTTTCTACTCTCTTCTGTAGGGTTGCTATGAGTTGGTACTGACTCAGGGGCACCTAACCACAACAACAACAATTGACTCATTCAGAGTTCTCCTTTGTACTGGTTTCTGTATGCATGTGCACATGTGCAAATGTGTGTGTATTTAACCAAACTCAACCCATTGCTGTCAAGTTGACTCGGACTCACAGAGACCCTATAGGACAGAGTAGAACTGCCTCATAGGGTTTCCAAGGAGCTGCTGGTGGATTCGAACTGCTGAGCTTTTTGTTTACCAGCCAAACCATTAACCAGTGCACCACCACAATTTTTAGCACGTGTAATAGTTTGTGCTACACTACAGCAAAGATACAGAACAGTTCCATCACTGCAAGGATCCATTCAGATGTTTTTATATAATGAAACCCATCTCCCTCCCATTTGTATTCCACCCCCAGCCCTAATAGCTAGAAACCACTAAACTGTTCTCCATTTCTAAAATTTTATCATTTCAAATATGTCATATAAATGGAATCAAATAGTATATAATCTTTTATAATTTTCTTTTTTAACTCAGCATAATTCCCTGGAGATTTATTCAAGTTGCTGTATGTATCAAGAGTTTCTTCCTCCCTCCCTCCTTCCTTCCTTCTCTTCTTCCCTCCCTTCCTCCTTCCCTCACACCTTCCCTCACTCACTCCTTCCCTCACTCATTACTTCCCTCCCTCCCTCTCTTCCTTCTCTTCCTTTGTTCCTTTCCTTTTTACTGAGTAGTATTCAATCTACCACAATTTGTTTAAACATTCACCCACTGGAGAGCATCTTGGCTGTTTCCAGATTTTGACTATTATGAATAAAGCTGCCATGAACAATATGTACAGGTTTTTGTGTGAACATAAGTTTTAATTTCTCTGGGACAAATGCCCAGGGGTACAATTTCTAAGTCTTATAGTGATTGCCTGTTGATCTTTATGAGAAACTATCACAGTTTTCTAGAGTGGCCGTACCATTTCACATTTCTACCAGCGATGTATGAGTGATTTAGTTTCTCTGCATCCTTGAAAGCATTTCGTGTTGTCACTGTTTTTTTTTTTTTTTTTTAACCATTCTAATAGGCTATCTTATTATGGCTTTATTTTGCATTTTTCTGATGGCAAATGATGTTGGACATCTTTTCATGTGCTAATTTGCCATCTGTATATGATTTTCGTTCAAGTATCTGTTTATATTTTTTGTCCATTTTCTAATGGGATTGTTTGACTATTACTGTTGAGTTGTGAGAGTTCTTTGTATATTCTGGACACTTGCTCTTTGTCAGAAATGTGGTTGGAAACATTTTCTCTCACTCAGTAGACTGTCTTTGCAACCTCTTAACATGGTCTTTTCACAAAGCAAATGTTTTTAATTGTGATGAAATCCAATTAGTAAATTTATCTTTGTTGGATCATGCTTTTGGTATCAAGGCTAAGAACTCTTTGCTTAGCCCTAGATCCTTAATATTTTCTTGTGTTTTGTTTTTATTTTTTTCTAAAAGTTTTATATTTAAGTCCGTGATCTGTGTATATCTTATATATCTTTTTATATAAGGGGTGAAGGTTAGGTCAAGGTTCACTTTAATTTTATTTTTGTGTATGGATGTCCAATTGCTCCAGCACCATTTGTTTAAAAGGCTATCCTTCCTCTATTGAATTATTTTTGTACCTTTGTAAAAAATCAGTTGGGCACATTTCTGTGGGTCTATTTCTGGGTTCTCTATTCTATTACCTTGATCTTTGTGCCTATACCTTTGCCATTACAACACTGTCTTAATTACTGTAGCTATATAGTAAGATTTTAGTCACTTGATGGCACAGTTGCCATGAACAGAAATCGAATTGACTGCATCTAGTTTTTAGGAGTCCCTGGGTAGTGCAAATGGTTGAGCGCGGCTACTAACTGAAAGTTTGGCGGTTTGAATGCACCCAGATGTACTTCAGAAGAAAGGCCTGTGATTTAGTTCCAAAATGTCACAGCCATTGAAAACCCCATGGGGCACAGTTCTACTCTGACATATACAGGCTCACCATGAGTCTGAATCAACTCAAAGGCATTTTTTTTTTTTTTTTTTTGACATCAGGTAGACTAATTGCTCCCACTTTATTCTTCTTTGTCAAGATTGTTTTAGCTCTTGGACTTGATGCCAATGGGTAGGGTCAGTGCCTTCCCGTATAAACTCTAGAATAAGTTGTCTATGTCCACCAAAAAACATTGCTGGAATTTTTTTAAGAATTTTATTAATTGCAGGTTTAATTGCATTAAACCTATATATCCTAACTTGCTAAGATTATGTGTCATGAATGAGTGTTGGATTTTGCCAAATGTTTTTTTCTGCATCAATTAATAGGATCATGTGATTTTTATTCATTAGCTTTTAGTATGGAAGATTACATTCGTTGGATTTTAAATGTAGCATGTTGTTTTCATTAGGTGCCGTAGATTAGTTCCAACTCAGCAATCTTATGAACAACAGAACAAAACACTGCTTCATCCTGAGCCATCCTTAACAATTGTTGCTATGTTTGAGCCCATTGTCGCAGCCACTGTGTCTGCCCTTCTCCAGGGACTGCTCCCTCCTGATAACATGTCCAAAGTATGTGAGATGAGGTCTCACAATTCTGGCTTATAAGGAGCATTCTGGTTGTACATCTTCTAAGACAGGTTAGTTTGTTCTTCTGACAGTCCATGGTATATTCAACGTTCTTCACCAACACCATAATTCAAAGGCATCAGTTCTCTTCTGTCTACCTCATTCATTGTCCAGCTTTTGCATCCATATTAGGCGGTTGAAAATAAATGTTGCATACCTTGAATAAATGTCCTTTGGTCATGGTGTAGATTTTGTTTGTTGTTGGATTGTAATTGCTAATATTTTTTTGAGGACTATTGCATCTAAGTCCATGAGAGGTGTTTGTACCATTTTTTGTACCATCTTTGTCTAGTTTTGATACCAGGGTTAACAGAGGCCTCAAAAAATGAGTTAGGACATCTTCCTTCACCATCTATTTTCTGGAAGAAATTGTGTATAATTGGTATTAATTTTAAAATATTTGTTAGAAACTATCTAGGCCTGGAGATTTCAGGAGATTTTAATTATCAATTCAATTTATTTTTTGGTTATTAGGCTATTCAAATGATCTTTTTTCATGATGGATGACTTTTGGTAGTTTGTGATTTTCAAAGCATTGGTCCATTTCTTCTCTGTTGTTGAATTTATGAATATTAGATTGTTCATAGTAAAATAGGAGATATCACTACAAATTCGGTAGCCATTAAATTGTGTCATCTTTTTTTTTTTTTCATTTTTGTCTGACATGCTAGAGGTTTATCAATTCTATCGAGTTTTTTTAAGAAACAGCTTTTTGTTTGATTTTCTCTATGGTTTTACTATTTTCATTATCATTGCTTTCTCCTCTCATGTTTATTATTATTTCTCTTTCTGCTTGTTTTGGTTGTATCTTGTGCTTCTTTTTCCAGTTTCTTGAAGTAGAACCTTAGATTATTCATTT